CAGCAGGAAAAAAAACTGAAGAAAAATTAGATGCTTTTTTCATTGTTTTCCATTGGGTTGACTCAATTAGCCCCCCCTAAACTCAATTAGCCCCCCCTAAAATTATTGAACGAATCCGCTCTTCAACAGTTGTGTAATGGTTTAAAGCACAGAGTATCTGTGGAATCATTACCCTTGTTGTTTAGAAGAATGTTTTGAAAATTGATTCGACTGCCGTCTTCATAATATAATCCATTCCTCAAAAGGACTAGTACTGAATGGTTACACAAAAACTATGAGCCCAATAAAGCTTTTCCCGAGTCTAGAAAGAAAAGGTTTCGATCACATGAAGTAATTGCTTTGGATTGTTTACATTCTTTCTGACAAAATGTTCCGATTTGATCGTCACAAACAAAGCCCAGTCGATCCATTTGATTGACTCTAGTGAAGGTCAGGTCAAGAATCTCCAAGATTGATGTCATCACAGGCGGCGTGCCTAGACGCATTCTYCACAGGGTCTTCACGTGACTCCTTTGAATATCACATTCTAGTTCCAAGAAATCTGACTCACTGCATTCCTTTTCCACATCCCTGTGAAAATGGCTGCATTCAAATCGCTCAAAGACATCACAGATACCTTCGAAGAACAACTGACCTGCTGAAATAATGCCAATCTTGTTGTAAATATTTATTAGCAAAGGGAAAAGTAATTGGTTTGTGAATAACCCATATTTAGTTTAGGGATTAAAAATATTATTAGTTGATGTAATGTGTGATATGTGTTTTATATTGTTTTATTATATTACATTATTTATCATTATCATATAATTATCCATAAAATACCTATATTTCTCCTTTTCGAAAAACTTATATTTTCACATGTGAAAATAACATTTTATGTTCACATGTAAAAATATTGTTACCATGTGTATTTAAGCTATTAGTTAATTAATCATAATAATGAAAAGCTTATTAAGTTGATTTTTTTGGATAAATATATAATAAACAGAATATTACATGGGCGCTTGGAGATACGCAATTTATCTTCTCATTTTGAAAATCTTTTGAACACTCGAAGATAAATTTCGTATCTCCGCGTGCCCATGTAATATCCTCTATTTATTACATTTTATCAAGAGAGCATAAATAAGAGAGGAAGACTTCCTATTGAGAAGTGTGCCATGTAAATTTGCGACTGGGCTATTTTTAATAATCGGAGCATTGCAGTGTAAATTTCGCCTTAGCTAACTCAAAAGACAAGACATTTTACCAAAAGTATTTAATATCATCAAATTTATTTTTACTAATTCATTCTTGTTCAAAGGATACAATATAATGTTTCNTCACCTAATTCTCTACATTTATTAGCACTTTAAAATGTTATTTGTATCAAGACTGAATGTTAAGATAACCCTGATAACATTTTGATGGAGATGTAAATAGACCTAGTTTAGATTGTACCATTATGTACAATGAGATACTGTGATATTAGTGTTAGTGCTAATATTGTGATATTAAGGTAAGCTATAGCTATTCAGTATTGTCTCACCTTCATAGCGTGGCAGGCCCTTTTATTTAAAGTGCCCCTACGCAGGCTAATCTTTGTATTGATATCTATATAATATTGTAGACTTGATGTAGTAATGCCAATCTTGTTGTAAACATTTATTAGCAAAGGGAAAAGTAATTGGTTTGTAAATAACCCATATTTAGTTTAATGATTAAAAATATTATCAGTTGATGTAATGTGTGATATGTGTTTTATTATTATGAAAGGAAGTGAGTAATTTGACGAGGACATCTGATGTAAATAGTCTATTGATGGTAGTGACTCATACAATAGCGAGCGAATCACCATTGCAGCAGTTTTCGCAGTGGAATTCAAATCTTGTCCCAAGGATTATGAAGCATTCTTGTCTTTTAGTTTCACGGGACAGTAAACAATAGACCTTATTCGTGGTGTGACAATGTTTTCCCAATTCAGCGTGACAAACCTCTGGGGGAATGAAGAGATATTGTTTTGAAACTCGTTGGGATATCATCGTTATTCTTTTCATATCCTTTGGGATAGTTATGACTTTTTTGAAGAGTAAAAACAAAATAAAATAAATCCCCTGGAGGTTTGTCACGCTGAATTGGAATAACATTGTCACGTCACGAATAAAGTCTATTGAAGCAATTTACAATCAATCTTCTGCAATCAGAGTTTTAAATTCTGAGATATCCTAGCTAAATTGTTGAGCTCATGGGACGTAGCAACGGTAACTAGGGGGGGTAAGAACCATGAATTCTTCAGGTGAATAATTACATATTATTATAATTAATAAATATTTTATTCGCACTAAGAAGTCTAAAAACCAGACTTGAAATTCCTTCTATTCACTTGAATTTATTCCTTCTATTCACAATGGAATATGGGAAGGGGATGAATGCATGTAAAGGCTTTTGGGATGCAGTTGATTCACTGCAAACTCACTAAATCCTTCCCATCAACCACAGCGCAACAACAAAGAGGGTAAAAGAAGTGACTAGGTACGATTTTGAATCTTAGCTTTGGAATGTGCCACCCTCTAATGTTTACTAAACAACTATTCTATATTCTATTATTTTTAAAAGCAAAAGAAAAAGGCCGGGAAAAAGGAGGAAAAGAGTGAGTACTATAATGTTCAGCTCACTCATTCAAGTGCTAACCCTCCTTAATTAGATGAGCTTGACTCAGTATCTAGCTTGAATGACAACGATTTATCCACTGGACCACGGTTCCAGGTGAATCAGCATAACAATAGCCGTGAAAACAATGCACCGAATAGACTAGACTTTTTCTTTTTAACATTTTATTTTCAATGGGTAATAAATATGGTTTAAAGCAGTGTGACAATACCTATTTAAAGTTGGAAGGATATCAGCCATCAGCAATGACTACAGCTCATAATATTAACAATCATTAATGCTTAATAGTGTATTTTTTATGTTGAAGGTATTTGGGGAATGTTGGGCAATATTGGCACTCTTGAAGCGTGTTTTGATTGCTCAAGCGTTGTGTAATGGTTAAAGTGCAAATGAACCCTTCGACAATACTTTCAGTACTGGTTCTGCATTAAGTAAATAGTTGTTGATTGGTAAAAAATTTCTTGATTTGAGTGATGCGACTCTAAGTTATGAAGGTTTATAGTTCCAATATGTTAATGATGATGACCTCAGGTAAGGTATTTGAGTGTTTTTGTTGTAACTAGTAATACTAAATGCTGGCCATTTTGAAAACACAAATTTAAAATCCATTCCCTATTATCCATTTCTCAAAAGGACTAGTACTGAATGGTGACACAAAAGCTTTGAGCCCAATAAAGCTTTTCCCGAGTCTAGAAAGAAAAGGTTTCGATCACATGAACTAATTGCTTTGGATTGTTTACATTCTTTCTGACAAAATATTCCGATTTGATCGTCACAAACAAAACCCAGTCGATCCATTTGATTGACTCTAGTGAAGGTCAGGTCAAGCATCTCCAAGATTGATGTCATCACAGGCGTCGTGCCTAGACGCATTCTCCACAGGGTGTTCACGTGACTCCTTTGAATATCACATTCTAGTTCCAAGAAATCTGACTCACTGCATTCCTTTTCCGCATCCCTGTGAAAATGGCTGCACTCAAATCGCTCAAAGACATCACAGATACCTTCGAAGAACAACTGACCTGCTCTCTTTGTCTAGATGTATTCACTCAGCCCAAAACTCTTTCCTGTCTTCATAGCTACTGTACAAGATGCATCGCTCAGTGGTATCACACAAGCGGCAATCAAGGAGGCAATCGAATGGACTGTCCGACGTGTAAGACGACGATAGTTGTGCCAGACGGCGATCCTTCGAAGCTACCTTCTTCGTTCTACTTGGATTCTCTTCTGGACTTGCTTCATGGGATGAAAAGCCAAGCTAATCAACCAGTTTTGCCCCATTGTGTGAGCTGTGAACAACCGCGAGTCTTGGTGGCGTTTTGTCAGCAGT